TGGAGACCGGAAGCTGGAACAGGCGCAGGGAACAGCAAACCCTAGCCCTACAGCCGGATGGCCCTTCGAGGGGGCCGGCTTGGGCGTTGCGTAATGGAGGGGTCATAAATGGGGGGGTGGCGAGGGTGGTTCGAAAAGGTACCCAAACGGTACCTAAACGAGCCCCCTGGGGCTCCAGAGGGGCCCGAAAGGGGCACGAAAGGGGACCGTTTCTGACCCCCCCATTTGTGACCCCCCCATTAAGCCACGCCCAAAGGGAACAGCAAGCCAGAGCCCTACAGTCGGATGGCCCTTCGAGGGGGCCGGCGGATTTGTGGTTCTTTTTTGGGTTGGGGGGGGGTCCTGGTGGGTGCCTGCGCGTCGAAGCCAGTGGGGCCCAGCGTGGCGGCCACCCTCGGGCGGATGCACGGACGCAGGGCTCGTTTCGATTCCCCCGATTCGATTCGATTCGATTTCGATTATTTCCGATTCCGATTCGATTCGATTTCGGAATCCGATTTTGGCTCCGATTTCTTAATGGAGGCGTACTACGCTGCCGATTTCTGCCGATTCGACTTTTCCCGATTCGGCTGCCGATTGCCACCGATCCGATTCATTTCGGTCGCCGATCCGATTTGTCGATTCGATTCTGGGCTCTCCTGCGGACGGTGACGCGTCGGCGATGATGGGGGTGATGGCGGGGGCGGCAGCGGCGCAGAGTTCCTCGGTGGTGGGATTCTCGGAGCCCGCGGGGCCCTGCGACGGCCGCCGGGACTCCGGGGAGAATGCCTGCGGAGTTCTGACAGGCGCCATGGACGTGATGTCGTCCTGGGGGAGGGGCGCAGAAGGGCGGCAAGGGGACCCGCCCAGAGCCCAAGGACACCGCCCAAGGCCGAATGGACATCGCCCGGAAGGGACTCGCTCCCCAGACACGTTTCAGCACGGAGTGTCTCGCCTGGCGATCAGAATTAGCGACGGGGGACCTCTGCCAGCATTGCTGCTGCGGCCGCTGCTCGGTACTGGTTTGTTGATGGGGTTGTCGCTGATGTGGATGCTGTTGAAGTCGCCACTGTTGCCCATGGTGCGGCTGGTGCTCAAGGCGCCGTTGCTGTTCATGTGGCTGTTCAGATGTTGTTGTGGCGTTCTTGTCATGGGGGTGCCCCCCACCCCTGGGCCAGAGGCCTCTGCCGGCTCTGTGGGCAAGCTGTGCGCCGTGCGACTTGGCCTTCGAAAAGTGGCGACCTTCACGAGGGTGGCGTTCCCCCCCGTGGCTTGGGGGGCCATGCCAGCTTGTGGGCCAGCTGTGGGCCCGGCGCGCTGGCTTTCGAAATGCTGCAGCCTTCATTGGGATGGCGCTCCTCTCAGCGGGCTGCAGGGCTCTGCCGGCTCTGCGGGCCAGCTGTGGGCCAGGCGCGCTGGCTCTTCGAAAAGCGGTGGCAAAAGCGGTGGCCCCATGGTGGGCTGGAGGCGTCTGCCAGCTCTGTGGGCCAGCTGTGGGCCAGGCGCGCTGCGCTGCGGGGGGATTATTCTTTTCATCACATGATGGGCCCCGGGGGGGCCATGATTGAACGCGTGCTTTTCCGGGGGGGTCTGGGGGGGTCCCATTTTTGTTTTTGGATTATCCAATTTGGGGGTGGCACGTTGGAAACGGCGTTTTCGGACCCCGCGCGCTAGGCTCGGGACCCGCGGCGTTGAATGAAACAATATGGGGCGGGCCCGAGGACGGATTGCATTTTAAGAGCGCGGGGATTAACCCGGACGCCCTCAAGGAGAGACCGCGGAAATGGCGGCAACGAGGAAGTAGCGGGCGCGGGCGGCGGCGGCGATGTCTATGGGAGCGGCGCTGACGAAACCGGCAATGAGTCACCACCCACCAAACCACCCCAACCCAACCCGAAGGCTCAGATTTACCCTCGATTTCCAGTGGGGGGGGGGGTCGGGAAACATCGAAAAAACACATGTGGAACCCTTACCCCCCCCAACCCGAAATTCGGGTCTTCGGGTTGGGTTGGGGTGGTCTGGTAGGTAGTCAATGAGGAGCGGCAAGTCCTGCGATTGCGGCGGCGCCACCGACGGCGGCGAACGGCGGACGGCGGCAGCCATCGCAGGCGGCGGTCTGCGACGCCGGCGGGACGGCGCGCGGGGCTCGCCTCCATGCTTTGAGAAGTGACCGCGGGGGCCTGTCGAGCAGAGTCGCGGGCCCCCGGGCGGGGGGGGGGCGGGGGGGCGCTCCTTCTAGGTTCGCGCTATCACCCACCAAACCACCCCAACCCAACCCGAAGGTCCAAATTTATCCTCGATTTCTAGTTGGGGGGGGTCGGGAAACGTCGAAAAAACACGTGTGGAACCCTTACCCCCCCCAACCCGAAATTCGGGTCTTCGGGTTGGGTTGGGGTGGTCTGGTAGGTAGAAAATTGTGGGGCAGGGTCAAGCATCTAATCCTGCTCGGGGCCGCATCGCAAATTGTCCCACCGTCGCCTCGACAAGTGCGCCTCGCTCGAAAGCCAAGCCGCGAGGCCCGCAGCTGGCCTTCGCGAAGGTTGCACTCTTCAAAACCGAAACCAACCAGCCGACTGCTGGCCCACGGGGTCGGTAAAAGCCTCGCGTCAAAACGACTGGCCCACCGAGCCGAAGGAGCCTTCCAGCCCAGAGTGGGGAGTGCCGCCCCAGCGGGGCGCCCAAAGTGCCTCGTCCACAGCTGGCCCGCAGATCTGGCGGGCCATCCAGCCTGCTACGATTGGCGCCATCCCCCGCGAAGGCCGCCACTCTTGGAAAGCCAGAGCGACCAGCCGACAGTTGGCCCACAGACGGCAGAGCCTTCCATCATGCTGGCCAAAGCCCCATCCTCGCGAAGATCGCCACCATTCAGATGCCGCAAACGCCCGGGCCACAGCTGGCCCGCAGAGCCGGCAGATGCCTCCAGCCAACCATGGGTGCGCCGCCCTTGCTGTGTGTCCATACGGTGCGTGTGTGTGTGTGTGTGTTGCTGGTTGTGTGTCTATGTGTTTGTGTGGTTGTGGGTTTGTGTGTGGACGTCGCATGTGTGTGTGTGTGTGTGTGCGTGCGTGCGCCCGCGCGTGCGTGCGCACTTGTGCGCGTGCATAGGTGTGTGCATGTGTTTGCTAGTGTGTGTTTACGTGTGTGTGTGTGTCTTTGTATGTTTATGTGTGTGTGTGTGTCTGTGTTGTGATGTGTCTGTGTATGCGTGTGTGTTTGTGTTTGTGTGTGCTTGTGCGTGCTTGTGTGTGTGCTTGTGTGTGCTTCAGTGTTTGTGTGTTTTTGTGTGTGTGAATGTGTTTATGTGTATGTCTGTATGTTTGTGTGTGTTTGTTGGTGTTGTTGTGCGTGTGTTTGTGTGTGTTGGTGTTTGTATGTGTTTGTTTGTGTGTTTGTGTGTGTGTTTGTGTGGGTGTGTTTGTGTGTGCTGGTGTGTGTTTGCGTGTGTGTAGGTAGTTGTGTGTGTGTTTGTGCGTTTGTGTGTGAGTTTGTATGTGTGTGAGTGTGTGTGGTTGTGTGTGCGTCGGTGTTGTGAGTTGTAAGTGTTTGTGAGTGGTTGTGTGTTTTGTGTGTGTGTTTGTGTGTGTGTGTGTGCGTGGCTGTGCTTGTGTGTGTGTTTGTTTGTGAGTGTGTGTGTGTTTACGTGCGTTTGTGTGTTTGTGCGTGTTAAATGTGTGTATTTGTGTGTGTGTGTGCGTGTGTGTGTGTTATGCGTGTGTGTGTGTGTGTTTGTGTGTGATTGTGTGCGCTTGTGTGCGATATTGTGTGTTTGTGTGTGCTGGTGTGTGCGTGTGCGTGTTCGTGTGTGTGTGTGTGTGGTTGTGTGTGTTTGTGGGCTTGTGTGTGCGTGTTTGTGCGTGGGTGTTTGTGTGGGTGTTTGTGTGTGTTTGTGTTTGTGTGTGTGGTTGTATGTTCGTGTGTTTGTGTGTGTGTGTGTTGTGTGTGTTTGTTTGTGTGTTTGTGTGTGCCCTTGTGCGTGTTTGTGTGTTTGTGTGTGCGTGTTTGTGTGTTTGTGTGTTCGTGTTTGTGCGCGTGTGTTTGTGTGTGTTTGTGTTTGTGTGTGTGATTGTGCTGGCGGTCGTGTGTGTGTGTGTTTTTGTGCGCACATGTAGGTAACTTTCGTCATGGTTGCTGGGGTGCAACCACTGAAAGGAAATGCCGATGGCAGCGCAACGCCGTTTTCGGCAACGTGCCCTTCTGATCCTGGCAGAGGCGACATGGGAACCCTTTTTGAATCGAGACTCTCTGCCGGCGGTTCTTGGAGGGGCAGGGCAGGCGCGGATGTAGCTGCTGTCCCTTCGGGTGGGGACGTTCCAGTTGGTGGAATGGGGCGGGGTCCAGGCCACATCACCTATCCATCGCTGGATAACCCCGCGAGCTTCCCAGCGCGCTCTGGCGCCGCAGTCGTCGCAGCAGGGGCGCTCGAAGACGGCGAGGGCGGAGACGGCGGACATGGGCGGGGAGAGGGGCAGAGACCGTCGGGAGGCCCTGGATACACGTCACCAGGGCAGGTCCCTGCGCACCCAGTCCCGTCACCGCCCGGCAGGTGGATGGATGGGGCCGGAGAAGAAGCAGAAAAATAGTTCGGAGCCGGCACCACTTCGGCCCAGCCCACGTCCTCGTCCAGAATCCTGCCAAGCAGCGCTGCTCCACAGTTGCTGCCTCCCTCCCCCGTCTCTCTACATACCCTCTCTCCCTCCCTCCTTCCTCCTCCCTTCCTATCCCTCCTTCACTTTTCCCTCCCTCCCTTCTCCCTCCCCTCCCTCGTCCCCTCCCTCCCCTCTTCCTCCTCCTCCTCCTCCTCCTCCTCCTCCTTCTCCCTCTCCTCCCCCCCCTCCCCCTCCCGCCCCCTCCCCTCCTCCCCCTCCCCTCCTCCCCCTCCTCTCCCCATCCGTTCCTCCTCCCTGGCGCTGGCACGTGGACTGCCGGCGCCCGGCCCGCTGCTGGCACCCGGCGACCGGCCTGGCCGCGTGGCCTCGGCCGTCCGCGCCGCGAGGGTGCCGCGCGCCGCTGGCCGCCCCCAGGTGGGAGCATCCTCCGCTGGGGCCGATGGCCTTTGCACAAGGCGCCCGCGCGCTCTTCTCTCGAGGAGGGGATCGGCTACAGAATGGCTTTGCCCCGAAACTGACTCTTTGTCGCATCCGGAATCCGAGGAGGAAGCGGTGCCCAGTCATGCCTCTGCTCTCCCCCCGTTTTATCCTCTTTGTGGGCCTCCTGGGATGCCCTCGTCGCCACCGCTGGATTCGCCCCGAAATCCTGGTCAGAACGCACCCCGGGAGAGGTCCGTGGAGTAGCGGTATCGGTACCTTTTGGTTTCCTCGTAGAGAGGGAAAAGTAAAACCTTCGCGGGCTGCGGCGCATTCCTTGGACGACTCGACGAAAACAAATTCAGTTGTTGGGGTGAATCAATTCTGCATTTGTCAGGAGGGAAAGAAACACACAGACACAATTAATCGTCAATTCCCAATAAAATATGCGAAAATATAGGAAGTGGGGGGGAAGACAAACACCCAGAAAATATAGGAAAATATGGAGGATCTTTGTATTTGTGTGTATTTATTTGTGTGTTTGTGGGCCCCTTCAATTTGATCTCCTGCTTGACTCTGCGGGCTGGCGCGCTCGGAGCAGGGGCGCCCTCGAGGGCTCCGCTCGGCCCCAAGACGGGGGTCCCGCGAGACGGGTGCTGCCACGGATTTCGGGCGTGCGGTGCATGCCAGTGCGCCAGGGTATTGCTGGGTTTCTCGTGGGAAAACAAACCTACCTCGCTTTTGACCACCCTCGCTTCCAAGAGATACCAAACGATGCCAAATTGCGGCCTGTACTGGTCAGGCCGCTTGACGAGGAGGCGCGTGGTATGGCTTGGTTTTGCCTGGAAGCGAAAGCGGGGGAGGTAATTCACGCTCTGAGTTTCCGCGTGCTTTACAGGAGTTGCAGTGCAATGCAATACAATTCTTAGGCGCAATTTGCAGTACACTTGCCCCATGCCTATTGCACCACCCCCGTTCAGCTGGAACCCTTTTCGGCCAAACAGAAGGGCGCGAAGTCATCCGCGCTTCGCAGTTCAGCTCCGATCGCCCTATCTACACCGACCCCATCTAGGAGGCCTCTAGATGTTGCATGTGTTCGCAACGTCGGATCTCAGGATACAATTACACTGTGTCGTTTGATCGGCCAGGGAAGCCAGGGAGTTCGACAGAGGAGTTTGGTGCACTGACGCTGTAGCGTCCCACGGGTGTGGCGTCAGCGTGGTGTCTGGGCTGGCGGCCTGCGACGCTTTGTCGGGTGGCGTCGGTGCACTGGCGGGCCAGAGCTGAGGGAGGGATACCTATAGGGGGCAGTGGCCAATAAGGTGGTTATGCTCGTGCTTCTCGTTCACTGGGAGGTGGCGGAAGTCGTGGGCGAGAAACATATCCGTATCCGTGGCCTCGCGGGCCGGGCCCCTGGGACGCGACGCCGCCGATACGTTTTTTTGTTTGTCCGAACCATCCTGTGGTGTTGGGTCTTCGTTTTGAAGAGACAGCGCCCCGCGTCCCACCTCCTCTCCTCCTCCTCCTCCCACTCCGCGCCCGCGCCACCAATTTCGGCACCCCTCACATGGTCCGCGACCCCATAGGGAGCGCCACCGACGGCCCCAGTGGCGACGTTCCCACGCGTCCCCGCCATCCACCTTGGTACACCCTTCACTCGTTTCGTGCTCCCATGGAGAGCTCCACCTAAGGCTACAGTGGCCACGTTCCCACGCGTCCCCGGCACCCATTTTGGCACACCCCTCACACTGTTCGTGGCCCCATAGGGAGCTCCACCTAAGGCTACAGTGGCGACGTTCCCATGCGTTCCTGCCACCCATTTTCGGCACACCCCTCACGCATTTCATGGTTCCATAGGGAGCTCCAACTTAGGCTCCAGTGGCGACGTTCCCATGCGTCCCCGCCACCCACGTTGGCACACCTCTCACACGGTCCGTGGCCCCGTAGGGAGCTCCACTTAAGGCTCCAGTAGTGACGTTCCCATGCGTGCCCGCCACCGATCTTGGCACACCTCTCACACGGTTCGTGGCCCCATAGGGAGCTCCACCGAAGACTCCAGTGGTGACGTTCCATGCGTTCCCGCCACCCATTTCGGCTACCCATGTGGCACACCCTTCACACCCATTACGGCCAAGGAAGAACTATTGCAAACATATGTTGGTCAATGACAAGCATCTGGCTGAAGCGTATAGTGGCGGGTTCTGCGAAGCCACCGCCGCGTTCACAGAGGCGCTGAACTTGGACTGGCACGCCAAATACATCAAATATACAATGGAACATGCAGCTGACATACTTCAACTAGCTGGGCGGGAACAGCAACGACCATGGATCTTTACAAAGACGCTCGGTTTATTGAATCAACGAGATCATGCTCAACGGCAGGGCAATATGGCAGAACAGAAGAGGCTGAACAAGTGTATCAAAACGTCGATGCAGGAAGAAAAAAAAACGTCGATGCAGAAAGATAAGCGCGATTGGTTGGATAACCAACTGGCTGGAGGCCATTGGAAAGCAGCGCGTGCGTTACACGAAAAAAATACCGAAACGACCAATTCTAATTCAAGATGAATTCTGGGCAATTCGTGGAGAGGGCCAAGCGGGCTGATACTCTTGCGGGTTGTTTCGAATTGGTGCAATGGCAAGTTACTGATGCAACCCTTTTACCCAGTGGGCACAACGACATGGCGGAGACACTGCCAATATAATCCGGCAGTTTCGGAATGCAGGAGCTTCAGGATGCACCGCGGGTTTTAGTTACGGGGAAAGGTGCAGCCGTAGACGATGTACCCCAACACATTGGAACGCATTGGCTCGCTCTCCAGAAGCATGCAAAGAATTGTTGACATTATTTCAGAGGTGTTGAGGTGAAAAAGATATCCCTCATGAGTGACATACATCACCTCACTTTTACATAAGAAGGGCGACGCTAGTTCGCCAGATAACTACATGCCGATTTCTTTATTGACGATTGGGTATAAGCTCCTTGTTTGGATGCTTCAAAAACGTAATCAAAATGGATGCGCCGAGAACAAAATACGATCCAGCCAGTTCGGATTTCGTCCTGGCGGAGGCACGGCCCAGGACATTAGCATCGCTCGGCGGATGTTCGAAGCAGCGCAAGCAGCGCAGGCACCTGGTTTGATTGCAGCGTTGTTGGACTGGCCCAAGGCATTTGACCCGGTAAAACATGATGCGCTTTTGGACGCTCTTCGTAAATTTGGCCTGCCTGTGGACATGCTGGGCATGGTGGCGGCGATTTGCAAATGTAGGCATTTCATATTTAAAGACCCAGCTGGGAAATCAAGTCTGCGGAAACAAGCAGCAGGAATTGCCCAAGGCTGTCCTCTTTCGCTTTACCCGTTCATTATCGTGCAAACCGTGATGCTTCTCGACGTCGACAAGCGCATGGACGGCCTCCACGCTGGCATCCAGGAGCCGGAATACGTGGTATGCCGTGACCTTCGTTACGCAGGTGACTCCATGCTCATAAGCAGCGGATCCGGGAAATTACACACGTTATTCGACATTGCAATCGACGAAGGCAAGAGGTACGGTCTGGAATTGAATTTGGGCAAGAGTGTACGCATGAGAGTGCGCAATGATGGCGCGATTGTCTCCCCATTGGTGCCCCACTGGCAGCGGTGGAGCAAGCAGTGTATCTCGGTGGCCAGTTGAAATTCAAGTGCGTAGCAAAGCTGGAAGTGACCAGGATAATCGGTGAAGCCAAATCCGCCTGTCAGAAATTATACAAATGTTGGTCTCACGCCGTCATCAGCCGCGCCAGGAAAATATAATTGTACAAAGCGGTCGTTTTGCCAAACTTGCTGTATAAGTTGGAAAAGCTTTGGCTGCTGCAGGAAGGCAAAAACCGTTTTAGACAGCTTCCGCACGCAATGTCCAAAACGAGTTTCTAAGAAGTCCAAGCACATATGTTTCACGAGTGTCTAATAAAGAGGTTATGGACTGAGCGGGGGAACGCCCGCTGAGCTCCACACTTCGCTGGCGACAAACGGCGCTGTACAAGAAAATTGCAGCGTTGCCCGGAGACGAACCTCTCAGACTTTAAACTTGCCAGCCTGGCGCCGACCTGCCCAGAACATGGGCGCACCGGCGACGCAGGGGAAGGCCTGATCAGCAGTGGGCCCGTTGCGTGTGTAGTCTTCTCTTGCACCTACACGTTCGCTATGTTTGCAGGTGAATTTGTATCGTTCTCACTGCCCGCATTTCGTTGCCCGGTCCGAGCCCGGGGTTATTGCTGGTGTCTCCAGTCACGCGCATAATTGTTTATTTTGCCAAAGCGTCGTCTGTGCGCCAGGCTGCACCTCGCGTTCGCAAGGTTCGTCGCCCCATCGGGAGCTCCACCTTTGCATCAGCGGCGACGTTCCCTTGCGCCCCCGCCACCCATTTTGGCACATCCTTCACACGGTTCGTGGCCCCAGAAACGATTTGGGCGCACTTTTCGCGCGGTTCGCGGCCCCAGAGGAAACTCCACCGAAGGCCCCCGTGGTTTTCGGCACGCCCCGACACGGTTTGTGACTTCATCGGGAGCGCCACCGAAGACGATATCCACAATTGCAGTATTCTCATCTGGGAATGGTTGGATCTTTTGCTAGGCTAATTTTTCTCGGATGTCCCGCGCGGGCGTATTCGTGCGACCGCGTATCCGCGGGATCGCGCCCCAGAATCCGGACTGCGAGTGCGTGGGTGCGGATATGTTCGCCGGTCGTGCGGGGAGGCGGACGGAGACATTCCGCACATGTATTTTCGAGCCCAGGGGGTTCGGGGCGAATCATGGAAGTTTGGTGTACCCTCTCGATTCCGTCCTTAGCGTCGATTAGCGTCTGGGAGTCGGCGAGATAACGCCGGTTCAGCGTCGGCTCGTGTAAATTAGTGTCAATTCTGCGCCCGTCGATTCAGCGTCGATGTGGCATCGATTTAGCGTCGACGAGCGCCGATTCGCAAGAACCGACAAGATTGTACGGACAGAGAGTTCGGCAGCTGGCAGCTCATCAAGGGCAGCGACAGGGGGGGGGGGGTCTAGGGGAGGCGTGCGTCGACCTCCGATCGCCCGTCCATCGCCGAGAGGCGCCTGATAGCCCACCCCGCCTTTCGATACTTGTTTTGGGACCTTCCTGGGGCCCACCTAACATATGTGTTCGACCTCAGTTCGACTCAAGTTCGACTCAGGTTCGGCTCAGGTTCGGCTCGGGGTCGACTCAAATCGACGGACGTTCGACGCAGTTTCGACGCAAGCGTGGAGCGAGTGTTTCCAGGAAGGTCTACATCATGAACATCAAACCGCCTCAGGATCGCGCGGTTTCGCCATCGGGGGCCTGTCGCTGATCAATTGGTGATGTGTCGCCGATTCCGGGTTGCGCCTTCCCCCGTGATCCAGTGTAGGGCGACGAGATCTATGCATATCCACTGCTCCTGGCCAGGCCCATCCTGGGCCCAGGAGCGGTGTATATGCCTCCCTGGCCAGGCCAGGAGGGCGTATACACAGCTCTTGGGCCCAGGATTGGCCTGGCCAGGAGCAGTGGATATGCATAGATCTCGTCGCCCTACAGTGCCCCCCATCGTTGCCCTTCAAGCTTGGCGAGAACACCGAGCTCGGCAGCCCGAAGAAGACAAGCGACGCACGCCTCAGGAGGTCCGCGCAGACGATCTCCTGGGTCGGCGCTGGGCTGCCATGGCGGCGCCTCCAGCGCCGCCCCTGGCGCGCTCCGCGCGCTTGCGAGAGGGCGCGCGGCGGTTGCCTCGAGGAGCGGGAGGAGGAGGAGGAGGAGGAGGAGGAGGAGGAGGAGGAGGAGGAGGAGGAGTCTGGGCCAGTCGCGCTGCTCTCTGCGCTCGCCCCCAACCCCGCTTCCTCCGCGGCCCGCGCGATGGTCCGCCGCGTGAGTGACGACGGCGATCGTAAGCTTAACTGCGCCGACATTCGAGCGTACACCTTAGGCGATGCTTAAGAAAACCTAAGTTTTCGGCCAGAGTCTCGATTATTCTTAACGTTTCGATGTAGGTCCTAAGATTTTGATAGAAATGTTGGGTTTTTTTATTCAAGTTCTGAGACCATGAATTTCTTAACCCATGATTTCTTAACCATTTCGCGTGGTGTAAGCTTCCCGCGTGAGGTCGCGAGCAGGCGCCATCATTCCCGATGTGGCGCGCCGCGCCGGCGGCCCGCGTAAGCCACCGCGTAGCCTCGCTATGCCTTCGCGCGCAAGACCCGCTTCATGTCGTCGCCCACGTGGGGCCGAGGGAGAGGAGGTGGAGGAGGAGGCCCCCTTGTTCCTCCGTCAAGGGCATCGCTCGTGGAGAAGGCCCCTGGCCCAGTGTGAGGCAGGCGCTTCTGCAAACCATCGCCCCTCGAGTCGTGCTCCTCGCTGTGATGAGGTCGGGTCTGGTCCCCGTGCGCGGGGTCGGCCACACGGCATAGGTACCTCGGGGCGGTACGGTTGAGACAACGGCAGCTCCTCCTCCTCCTCTTCCTCCTCCTCCTCCTTATCATCATCCCCCTCCTCCTCCTCCTTCTCATCCTCCTCCTCATTCTCCTCTTCCTCCTCCTCCCTCCTCCTCCTCCCTCCTCCTCCTCCTCCTCCTCCTCCTCCTCCCCCTCCTCCTCCTCCTCCACCTCCTCCTCCTTCTCGTCCCCGTCCTCCTCTTCCTCCCTTCTCGCACATCACACGCGTGTTTCGTGAGGATGGCCCGCCCATTATGTTCGTAGTGTTGGGTTGTCGAACGGTTCTAATTTTGAGTCGGGCACATCCCTCTACAGCAGGAATATTGAAATATCAGCCAGCGTTGACTCCAATTATGTTGGACGACTCAAATCAAGGAATCCGAGGAATCAAGCATGCTTGGAATCCGCAACTCAGCAAGCACGCAAGCGTGCAAGCAAGCGACATTGTGTCCGTGGTTCCACCGAGCTCCCTGGCAGCATCGTCTCAGCTGTCAGTCGCTCTCCTGTCGCCGCTGCCCCCCCCACCCCCGCCCACTGTTACGAGTACTAGTAGCTGTCGCTTACGGAGGGGAGGCGGTTGGCGAGCTCGGCGGTTCCCCCCCTTGCGCCCGCGCTCCCCAAAGACTCTCGAGCCGCCCCCCTTTCCCAGCTCCACGGTGATTGAGAGCGTCGGTGACCTTCTCGTCCTCGCTGCCCGCCGTCCCCTAGCCTTAGGTCGGGCGTGTCCCTCTACAGGAGGAGTTATCAAAAATATTCAAACACATAGTCTGGGGACGATCGTGTTTCAAATGTTGTTTCCACTATTTGGATGTTTTTTTTGAGTATGTTTCATTGTTCGTCCAAAGTCCGCCTGTAGGTGGACACGCCCGACCTAGTCCTGGCCCTCGCGTCGCGCCACGAAGGCATTCAGTTCTTCCCCGGCGAGATGAAGGAGGCGTGCGCGCTGCCTGCTGGCCCTCGCTGCCGCCTGGGCTCGGCCGGCCCTCGGCTGCCCCCTGCTCTGGAGACCAGCCACCCAGCCTTACGTCGGGCCTATCCCTCCACAGGATTCGTATCCAAAAATAGTCAAAAATAGTGTGGGGACGATTTGTCCACCATGTCTGACTATGTTTGTGGTATTGCTTGAGTATTGTTTCATGTTTCGTCCAAAATCCGCCTGTAGGGGGACACGCCCGACCTACACCCAGCCGACTCTGACGCAGCATGCCCGTTTGATGCGCAATGCAAGTTGCCCCTCCATGATCCTCCTTTGCCGGCGAGGCCTCTCGGCTTGCCGATATGCCCATCAGAGCATATTAGAATAACCTTTTGTCGTCTGAACGACATGTTCCAAGAGCATGCCTAGTTGATATTGCTTAATGAGAGGATGCTCGGGCAGCGGCGAGGCGTCTATATATTCAGGCGATCGCGAACGTGGATCAAGGGGGAGGATGAGGAGGAGGAGGAGGAGGAGGAGGAGGAGGAGGAGGAGGAGGAGGAGGGCCTCCCCCCCTCAGCCACGCGCAGAGGGGGGCGTGGATTAGCGATGGGTGCCGTTTCCATGGGAAATCGCGGATTTCCGCCGCCGAGCGAGGCGGCACTGGCCGCATCATGGGGAGGGCACTTCCGCCGATCCGTGGATTCGGCGACCGCGCACCAAACCCATGGATCGCTAATCCATGTTTGCGCGCCCCCGATATATGCCCATCAAAGAATGTTAGAATAACCTTTTTGTTGTCTGTACGTTATGTTCCAATATCATGCCTAGCCTACATTGCCTTGTTTAAACACTTTGAGTTTCTGTTCTAAGAACGTTGGCTTGTTTTTGAGCATATTTGGATTCTAGGAACAGCTCGTCGTAGGCCTATAGGAATGCCATGACGGGTCGGTCCCTGTTCAAGACGCACCCCCAGCGATCCGATGCTTTGTTTGTTGCGCAAAAAGATTTTAAAAAGGCCTGCCGATGCCTGTTGTTCTGTGCAATCAGATTACAGTGTTTTTTTTTTGTAAAAAAAGGACCCAAGCACATGCAGCTGTGAGTCCCGCAGTTGTGGGCCTCGTCCGCGGCGGAGCTCCCTGTGGGGCCACGAAGCGCTGCACTGGTTGGGAGGGACGCGTGGCAACATTGCCGCGGGGCACCGTCGGTGGAGCGTCGCATGGGACCACGAAGCGCTGCACTGGGTGGGGGGGGCGCATGCGGACGGTGCTGTTGAGGCCTTGAGTGCAGCCCCGTATGGTATGGTGTCACGAGACGCCGTATTGGGTGGGGGAGGCGCATGCGGACGGTGACACTGGGGCCTTCGGTGCCACAAAATGCTAAACTGTGTTGGGGAGACGCATGCGGACGTTGTCACTGGGGCCTTCGGTGGAGCTCTTGGGCAACGGAGCGCTGTACTGGGCGGGAGGACGCATGCGGACGGTGCCACCGGGGCCTTCGGTGGATCTCCTTTTTGGGCAACGGAGCGCTGTACTGGGCGGGAGGACGCATGCAGACGGTGCCACTGGGGCTTACGGAGCGCTGTACTGGGTGGGGGAACGCATGCGGGCGGTAACGCAAGGATCTTCGGTGGAGCTCCATCTGGGGCCACAAAGCGCCGGACTGGGTGGGGGGGACGCACGCGGGTGATAGCACCGTGGCCGTCGGTGGAGCTCCGTATGGGGCCACGAAACGTTGTCCTGTGTGGACGCATGCGGACGGTAGCACTGGGACCTTCGGTGGAGCTCCTTCTGGGGCCACGAAGCGCTGTAGTTGGTCGGGGTGACGCATGCGGGCGGTGCCGCTGGGACCATCGGTGGAGCTCCCGATACGGGCCACGCAACGTGTGAGGGGTGTGCCGACATGGTAGACTGATGCGAAGAGCAGGGGCAGGGACGGGAGAAGGCAGGGGGAGGAGAAGGAAGGCCTAGGAGGAGGAGGAAGAGGAGGAGGAGGGGGAGGAGGAGGAGGAGGAGGAGGAGGAGGAAGAGGATGAGGAGAAGGAGGAGGAGGAGGTGGAGGCGGAGGAGGAGGAGGAGGAGGAGGAGGAGGAGGAGAGGAGGAGGAGGGAGGAGGACGAGGAGGAGGAGGAGGAGGAGGCGAAGGAGGAGGAGGAGAAGGGGGAAAAAGGGGAGGAGGAGGAGGAGGAGTTGGAGGAGGAGGAGGAGGAGGAGGAGGAGGAGGGAGGAACGCGGGCCGCTGCCTTCTCAAGGCGAGGACCCAACAGCACAGGACTATTTGGGGAAACGTGCGGGGCTCCCAGAAGTCCCGACCCGTTTCCCTGAGCCAGTTTCTCATCCCGAGTCGTTATTTGTTGACGGCCACGGGGGCCCGGCTAGGGCCTGTGTTGGCCGAAGGCGGAGAATCGCCTTCGCTCTGATTTGATTATCCCTAGCAGCGTTTTGCTACCCCGCTTGCCTCCAGGGTGCCCATGGGTTTCCTAGGTTTCGATGGTCCTGCGATGGAGAAGGGGACGCTCCCACACCAACAATCAGTGGACGTCCCGGGGTCTCAGGGCTGGGTTTCTTGTGGAAGGTTCCTTGTGGACTGCCTTCCACTGCAGGACACGAATGGGGGTCAGGCAGGGCTACGGAAGAGTCCCACAAGGGGCACAGGGGTGCCCGAGACCGCCCAGTTTGGCAGCCGTTTCGGCGGAGGCTTCCTTTGCGCTTTGCTTTCTTCGAGGAGTGCTCCCGCCTCACCGCCGGCTGCACTTCTGTTCCGGACGGCCACGGGCCCTTGCTCACACGTGTAGGAACACACACACACACACACGATGTGCATATGACCGTGCGTTTCCGCGGGGCATCCCAAGGGATTCTTTGGAGTGTGCTCGTTTTGGAAGCCGCAAGCGGAGAAGAGCATCGATGCTAAGGGCCAGGACGAGGATGCACCCGTTCCAGACCGTTCCGGAGCGCTCTCAGATCGCTCCGGAACGCTCTGAAAGGGGCCGCGGCGCCCGAGACGTCCTCCAGAGCCGCTGGATCTCAGAGATTCCCGATTTGATTCATCCTCACCCGATTGTATCATTGGTTTGTTCTACGCCGGGGAGGAAGTGGAGGAAGAGAGGAGGAGGAAGGGAGGGAGGAGGAGGAGAGGGAGGAGTAGAAGGAGGAGGAGGAGGAGGAGGAGGAGGAGGAGGAGGAGGAGAGGCCGGGGGATTGTGGAGCCCCTCGTCGTTGTCATATGGTTTTTACCGAGTGAAACGCTCTTTCACCCTGAAGTGTCGATTGTTGTTTTGTCATTTTTCTTTTCGCCGTGATCCCCTCATACTAATCCTTTCTCGTTATATCGTTCTCTAGTGTTCTCTATCTCTCTCTCTCTTTATCTCTCTCTCTCTCTTGGTGTATCTCCTGCACCAGGCCAATGCATGCCGATGCGAGACAAATCCATTCCCAACCAACACCAATGCCAATGCAATGCCAACGGGATAATCCTTTCGCTCGGTGGATTTCAATAAGAATACGTTGTGCATGATGTCAATACGAGTGCTTCTTCGGAGGATTTCGATAGCAATGCTTATGTGTAGGGTTTCGATAGGGATCCTCATGTGGAGGGTTTCACTAGGAACACTTCACTTGGGAGAATTCAATCGGAATCGTTCTTGTGGAGGGTTTCAATAGGAGTCCGTCTGCGGAGGGAGCCATTCGGACTCGCCAGCGCAATGCCTACGCAATGCCAACGCTTTGCCATCGCAATTCCAAGCCAATGCCAAGGCGATCCCAATTCAATGCCAATGCAATGCCAATGGGGGGTATCCTTTGTGGTAGATTCCAAAAGGAATCCTACCTGTGGAGGGTTTCGATTGGGACCCTTCCGTGGGGGGTTTCAGTATGAATATTTTAGGTGGGGGGCTTTCAAAAGGATGCCTTCTTGTGGAAGGTAAGGCATCTTTCTGTGGTGGGAGCCATTCGAACTCGCCAGCGCAATGCCGAAGCAGTGCCAACGCAATGCCAAACCAATGCCAATGCAATGCCAATGAGGGGAGATTGTTTGTGGTAGATTTCATTCGCAATCCTTCTAAGAACCCTTCTTCGGGGGATTTCAATAGGAAACCTTGTATGGAGGCTTTCGCGTGGAACCCTTTGTGTTGAGGATTTCAATTTGGATCCTTCTTGTGGGGGGTTCAACAGGCATCTTTTTTGTGGGGGTGTTCAATAGGAGTCCTTCTGTAAAGTGTTTGAGTAGGACTCGCCATCGCAACGTCAACGCAATGCCAACGCACTGCTAACGCACTGCCATCGCAATGCCAATGCGATGCCAATGCGAGGCCAAACCGTTGCCAAAGCAATGCCGATGCAATGCCGATGGCGGGATTCCTGTCTTCTAACAGATTTCACCAGGAATCCTGAAGTGGATAATTTGGTTACGAATCCTTCCCCGGAGAATTTCGATAGGAATCCTCCCGTGGAGGGTTTTCATTGGAATCTTTCTGTGGGGGGTTTGACTTTGAATCTTTCGTGTGGGGGCTTTCAAAGGGATCCCTTCTTGTGCACGGTTTTCATAGGAATCCTTGTGTGGGGGGAGCCACTAGAACTCGCCAGCGCAATGCCACAGCAATACCAATGCAATGCCAAAACAATGCCAAAGCGATCCCAATTCAATGCCAATGCAATGCCAATAGGGGAAATCGTTTGTGGTCGGGTTCAAGAAGAATCCTTCTATGGAGGGCTTCGAATGGAATCCTTCCGTGAGGGAGTTCCATGTGAACCTTTCTTGTGAGATGTTTTAATCGGAATCCTTCTTGTGGGGGGTTTAACAGGAATCATTATGCGAAGGGGTGTGTTGGAACTCGCCAGCGCAATGTTAGCGCAATGCCAACGCAATGCCACACCAATGACCAATGCCAAGGCGATCCCAACCCAATGCCAATGCACTACCAATGGGGGAGATCCTTTGTAGTAGATTTCAAAAGGAATCCTTCTGTGGAGGGTTTCGCATGAAATCCTTCTGTGGAGGGTGTCAAGAGGAGTCCTTCTTGTAGAAGGTTTCGATCGGAGTCCTTCTGTGGAGGGTTCCATTAGGGCTCGCCAGCGCACTGCTTGCGAAATGCAAACACACCAGCAACGCACTGCCAAGCGCAATGCCAACGCGATATCAATGCGATGCCAAACCATTGCCAAACCAATGCCGATGCAATGCCAACGAGGGTTCTTTCTTTCGAAGCATCTCAATATCAAGCAAGGTTTTGATAGGCATCCTTCTGTGTGGGGACCAATTAGAACTCGCTAACGCAATACCAACGCAATGCCAAAGCGATCCCAATTCAATGCCAATGCAATGCCAATGGGGGAAATCGTTTGTGGTCGCGTTCAAGAAGAATCCTTCGATGGAGGGCTTCGAATGGAATCTTTCAGTGAGGGAATTCAATGTGAACCATTTTTGTGGGATACTTCAATCGGAATCCTTTTTTGTGTGGGGGGCTCAACAGGAATCACTATGCGAAGGGAGGTGTTGGAACTCGCCAGCGGAATGCCAGCGCAATGCCAACGCAGTGCCGACGCAATGCCACACCAATGCCAAAGCGATCCCAACCCAATGCCAATGCACTGCCAATGGGGGAAATCCTTTGTGGTAGATTTCAATAGAAATCCTTCAGTGGAGGGTGTCTATATAAACCGTTTTGTGGAGGGTTTCAATCGGAGTCTTTCTCGTAGAAATTGTCGATCGGAGTCCTTCTGTGGAGGCGTTCATTAGGACTCGCCAGCGCAATGCTTTCGAAATGCAACTGCACTAGCAACGCACTGCCAAGCGCAATGCCAATGCAATGCCAATGCGATGCCAAACCATTGCCAAACCAATGCCAATGCAATGTCAACGGGGGTTGTTTCTTTCGACGCATATCAATATCAATCGTTCTGCGGGTGATTCCAATAGGCATCAATTGTTTGAGGATTTCAATAGGAATCATTCCGTGGAGGGTTTCAATTGGAATCTTTCTGTAGAGGATTTCACTACGAATCCTTCTTGTGGGGGCGTTCAATAGGAATCCTTCTAGGGGGGGGAGGGCAGATGCGGCCACGTCGCATTCCTTTTATTTCGCCGCCGACCCCCCCGAAACAAAAAAACAAAATCAGGGGGGAGAGAGAGAGAGAGAGAGAGAGAGAAAGAGAGAGAGAGAGAGAAAGAGAGAACAAACAAACAAGGAGGAGGAGGAGGAGGAGGAGGACGAGGACGAGCAGGGGGAGGCGGAAGGAGAGGAGGACGCCACAGAGTACGCACACCACTGAAAGACGCACGCGCGAACTCAGTGTGAAAGCCTCGCGCGCGCGCTCTGGAACCCCGAGGGGCTCCACAATCCCCCGGTCTCGAGAAGGAGGAGGAGGAAAAGGAGGAGGGGGAGGAGGAGGAGGAGGAGGAGGAGGAGGCGGAGGAGGAGGAGGAGGAGGAGGAGGAGGAGGAGGAGAGGGAGGGGGAGGAGGAGGAGGAGGATACGACGCTGTGGAGCGGCCCGCGCAGGAGGAGGAGGAGGAGGAGGAGGAGGAGGAGGAGGAGGAGGAGGAGGAGGAGGAGATGCGAAGATCCTCGCCCAGGCCTCGTCTCGCCGTGCGCCTCCTGCTTCTCGCTCTGCCCCTCGCGTGGGCGAGGCCTCGACCCCCGGTGCCCCGCCGCCTGGGCACCGCCCCCGCTCCCAGGGTTCCCCGCCGTCGGGCCTCGCGATGCTGCCGAGGCCCGGGGAACCCCCGACCTCTCGGCCCAGACACCCGTCGGCGTCTCGGCGACAGCGAGGCGGAGGCGTTTCGTCGTCTGCGGCCTCCCGGGGCCCTCGCCAGGCCCCGGGACCTTCAACGAGAGCGACTCGGGAGGAAGGAGCGGCCTTGGGAGGAAGGTCGGGACTGCCGGGGGCCCCGCGCTTTGGCCGGCAAGCCTGTGGTGTTGGGTCCGCGTTCGGTCCAGGGGATGCGGTCGAGAGGTCGGGAGTCGCGTCTCGGTGCAATCGAGACGTCGGATATGTCTGGGGGCCACTTTCCCCCGGCACTGTTTCCTTTTTCGCCCCAAGTCGTCTTTCGACGGGCCCGCGAGACACGGGCCATTGAGTACAAGAGAACCCCTAACCCTAATAACACGATGATGATAATTTTCTTATTCATTGCTTTGCCGATCCCAAGCCCCCCCCTCCCCTCCTTAGACTAGATCTTGGCTGTTTTCGGCGCCTGATTCCAGCATGTGGAGTCTCCCCCACAGGACGCACTGTTACAAATCGTCGCACAAAGCAGAGGTCTGGAGCCAGACCCCCCCTCCCCCCCTTCCGCCCAATGTCGAAACGCCGAATGAGAGAACGCTCGCATGAAGATGTGGCCTCACTGAAGGACCCCCGTCTCCGCATCAGGGATCATAGATCCTGGGCGGTTTGGTCGGATGCATCTTCAGAAACGACTCGGTCCTCATGTTTTTGGCCCTCCAGACTGAGGGTTTGGCCTCAGGGTTGGCCTCCTCCTCCTCCTCCTCCTCCTCCTCCTCCTCCTCCAAACAAGAACCCCTAACCATCCCAAAAGGGTTAGGGGTTCTTGTTTGGTTCATCCACGGGGCCCCCCGACCTCTCGGCTCACTTCCCCGGCGCCGGTCTCTGTGCGCCCCGAGTCGTCCTTCGACGGTCCTGCGAGAGGCAGCGGGACGGCGAAGAACCCCCTTCTCGATTTCGAAGGCCTCACGGCCGGTGCCGCCGACCCTGAAGGGGGACGACGACCACGACCACGACCACGACGACGACGACGACGACAAGAGGCCGAACACTGTGAGAAGCACCCGTCCCCATTCCTTCGAGACGCTGGACGTCTGGGCTGAGCGCCAGGCCGCCGGGCCGCCCCCAGGCACAGTGCCGCCGCTGCCGACGGGCGGCGGGGGCAGGGTTCGGAATGCGTCGAGCGGGTGGCGAGATCCGAACCCTGCCTCATGATGTTCCAACCTGCTCTAGCCTTGATCACCAGAAAGAGTTTCGAGCACCGAGAAAGTGCCGAAACTACAGGATTTTCACGCGTCAGGCCCTTGGAGGCGATACTCGCTCGACACTGTTTAGATACTTTTCTGGGTGCTCGAAATCATGTCTGGGATGTCGTCCTTAAAGTACGATGGGAGCAACAAAAGCCCTGCCCCGCGTCCCAGCGATTCAGGAGAATCGATGGTTGCTGGGGGTAGGGTTCAGATGTCGCCCCCCCGCCAAAGCTCTTGGCTGGTGGCAAACTCTGCGCGTCCCCCGATTCGACCTGTCGTTCGTATGATGGCGACGGCACGGCGGCGGCGGCGGAGAAATTCTTTGCCGATGGTGGTTGGGCGCCAGCCACCCTCAACTAGCCCTCGAACCAAAGGATAGCCATCTTGTCCCTCACTGGAGGTGGGTTCCGGAAGACCTCTTGGGACATCCGCCGATACGATTGGCTCCCTCCGCGGCCCCAGAGGGATCCCGACCCCTTCCCCGCGTCTGGCTTCTGCTCCCGCCCCATGTGTTGGATGGTCTCTGGGCCCGGCCACGGGCTCTGGAGGCCGACGTCTGAGAAAAGCGACGCATGGCCTGGCGGGGGGTGCTGGGCGGTGACCTTCAGATGGGCTTGCAGAGGAAAGGGCTCCAGAGGGGGCCCTCCAGGGCCCCCTTGGGAGCCAGCAGGGGCCCAGAGGGGGCCCTACGGTGCTCCTTCGGGGCCCCTTTCTCGTCACCCCCCATCTGGGCCACCCCCCACTACCGCCCGCCCGAGAGATTGACGGTTGCCCGCGCCGGCGCGGAGCGCGAGGCCGCCGGGCCGCCCCCCTTCCTGCCGGGCAACGTGTCGCCGCTGCCGCTGGGCGCGGGACCGCCGCTGCAGTTCCAGCCCTGCGGGGCGGGGCCGCCGCCAGCCGGGCCGGGGCAGCCCGGCGGCGGCGACCTCGGCGAGCGCCAGGCCCGGCCTCGCCCCTCCCCGCGCCCATTGGTCGGTACGATCGCGATGGGTACGGAAAGAGAGGGTACCCAGACATCTTGATGTCTCGACCCAGACATCTTGATGTCTCGAACAAAAATCGAGACGGAGGTTTTCCCGTCGTTGTCGGCCTCCTGGGGCCCTTCCTGGGCCTCGCGGCCGTCAAGAAACGTATTCGGATTGAACAACCGGTCTTGGGGAAGCGGTCGAGAGGTCGGGGGCCGTGTCTTGAAATTGATTTGGCATGCAGTTGTGAGGACCGCAGCTAACCCTGGGAAGCAATCAGTAACCCCCCCCCCCCCCCTCATCAGGGGAAATTATAACGCTTCCGGCACCAGGGCCGGGGCGGAAGCGATATCCCCCGCAGGTCACCAGAGGTCCGCGGAGGGGAGGTCCCCAGAGGTTCCCAGGAGGCATCCAGAAAGGCTTCCACAAGCCTCTGAATGCCCGGCCCCCTTGTAGTCCAGAGCCCAGCGACAAGGCACACCTGCCCAAAGTCGTTTCCTGTGATTCTGTGCGTTTCTGTGAGATTCCTTAGAGATTCCTTTGATACTCCGATTGGCTTCTTTTGAGATTCCTTGCCGTTTCTATTGTGATTTTTTGGGACTCCTTTGAGACTCCTCTGGTGTTCCTTTGATGTTCTTCTGGGGGTCCCTTGAGGTTCTTGTCATATCCCTTTGATGCCCCATTGCTTAAGGGAGCATCACATCGACATCTGGGGCCGGTGGATTATTTTATTTTCAATAAATGTGCTAACATATCGCGGGGGGGGTCGCGGAATCCGTCTGCGATATCTCTCCGTGGACTCTCCCATATGATCCCCTGAAATAATCAATTTCCCTAGTGCGGTCGCAATGGGGATTGCTTAGATTCCTCAGATTCCTTAGATTCCTTTGTGGTTCGTTTGAGCTGCCGCTGAGATGCCTTTGCGATTTCTGTTGGGCTCCTTTGAGATTACTTTGAACTTCCATTGGTTCCTTTGATATCATGCGTGGGATCATTTGTGGTATTCTTATGGGATTCCTTTGGGGGTCCTTTCAAGTTCCTTTGACATTCCTTCGACAATCCCTGAAGGGAGCATCACATCGACCTCCAGTGCCTCGTGCGCATTGGTTCTTCAGGCTGTCGCCTCACGTTTCCGCCAGCTTTGGGCCCGGGGGGGGGGCACATTAACTAATTATTGTATTTCATTTTTCATGTGCTAACGATATCGCCGGAGGGCGCCGCCCAAAAAAAAAAATTATTTTATTTTCTGTGCTAACGATATCGCCGGGGGGGGGGGTACTGTTTGCTTCCCGGGGTTATGGGTATCGTCCTCGGTGCAGCTCCTTATGGGCTACGCAACGCTGTACTGGGTGGGGGAGACGCATGCGAACTTTGCCACTGGGGCCTTCGGTAAAGCCTCCCTTGGGCCACGAAACGCTGTGCTGGCTGGGGAGGACGCATGCGAACTTTGCCCCCGGGACCTTCGGTGGAGATCCTCATGGGGTCACGAAACGCTGTGCTGATTGGGGGGGCGCGCTTGCGGGCGGTGGCACTGGGGCCGTCGGTGGAGCCTCCTTTGGGGCCACGAAGCGCTGTACTGGGTGGGGGGGATGCGTGCAGGCAGTAGCACTGGGGCCGTCGGTGGAGGGGCTACGAAACGCTGTACTGGGTGGGGGGGGGGGGCGCATGCGGGCGGTAGCACTTGGACCTTCGGTGGAGCCCCATGTGGGGCCACGAACCGCTGTACTGGGTGGGGTGGACGCTTGCGGGCGGTAGCACTGGGGCCGTCGGTGGAGTTCCCAAGAGGGCCACGAAACGATGCACTGGGTTGGGTGAACGCATGCGGGCGGTAGCACTGGGACCTTCGGGGGAGCTCCCTCTGGAGCCACGAAGCGATGTATTGGAAGGCGGGGCGCATGCGGGCGGTAGCACTGGGTCCGTCGTTGGAGCTCTGGGATCTTCGGTGAAGCTCCCTATAGGGCAACGAAACGATTTACTGGGTGGGGGGGAACGCATGCGGGCGGTAGCACTGGGATCTTCGGTGGAGCTCCCTATGGGGCCACGAAGCGCTGTACCCGGTTGGGGGGACCGCATGCGGGCGGTAGCGCTGGGGCAGTCGGTGGAGCCCCCTGTGGGTCCACGAAACATGTGAAGGGTGCGCCGACATGAAACGCTGATGCGGAGAGCAGAAGCAGAGATTGGAGGATCGGGGGGATGAGGAAGGAAGGAAAGAGTGAACGCGGGGCGCTGTCTCTTCAAAACGAGGGCCCAACACCACAGGATGGTTGCGACAAATCGAGACGTCGGATCTCTAGGCTTCCCGCGCCCATTGGTCGGTACGGTCAAGATGGGTACGGAAAGAAGGGGTACGAAGACCGACAGCATATCCAGTCCACTGCGAGCAGGATTCGCTGTCGGCGCCGCTGCGGACGTGGTCTATTTGAAACAGAGCGCCGCTTGCCCAACAGCGGCCGCTGTTCCGCTGTTTTTTTCTGAGCAACGTGAAATAGCTGTTGGGCATCGTGTCCTTTTTCCCTACCGTCCCCCGCGTCCAAAATTGGGTTTCGGGGCGGCCGATTTTCACGGTGAGTGAGAGTTGCTCGGCCCAGCCTCTCCCCAGTTGTTTCTGCGCCCTTCCTCGCCTCTTTCCGCGCTTGTCGTTCTCTTGTGCCACGCCTGCCCCTCAGGGACCGCTCCGCCGGAGCTGGCACGCAGGCTGCTGAACTGTACTGAGCTTCGTCAGAAAGGGGAATCGGTACGATCAAAATGTGTACTGTACGGAAAGAAGGGGTACGAAGACCGACAGCAGTTCCGCCCATTTGGAGCAGGATTCCTTGCCGGCGTCGCTGCGGACACAGAAGGCCTCCTGACCAACAGCGACCGCTGTCGGTTTTCGACCACACTTGCTGTTGCACATCGTACCCCTTCTTCCCGCGCCCAATTCAGTGGCCATGGAGTCGGATTGAGCCCAGGATGCGGCCGAATTTAGCGGGGTAAAGCCAGATGAAGCGGGACTACGCCGGATGAGGCCAGTTTCCGACCAGGGATATTCCAGCGCCGATGTTTGATTTCAGCTCCCAGGAGTTGCATCTTCATTCCCATGGGCTGAGGCGGTGATTGATCATGCGGAGGATAGCGATTCCGCGCCTCGTCCTGCAGCAGAGCACCCGGAAGATTCTGGTCAGAAGGCGCTCGGGGAGGCCAGGCAGTAGAGGAATTTTATTGGTGCCTGTCTGTCCCCCCCCAGGTAGGGACCGCATTGTTTAAAGTCGGGATTTGGTTCATGGTGTGAGTCCGCGGCTGGATTCTCCCCGAAAAGTTCTGGTCAGAGTGCGCTCCGTGAGGCCAGGCAGTAGAGGCACTTGTTGGTGCCTTGCCTTTCTGTCCCCCCAGGTACAGACCGCATTTTTGAGGTCGTGGGGTGATTCTCGTGTGAGCGCGCGGGCTGATTGTAGGAAGGGCTCTGCCAGGCCCCCCTTGCCGGCGCCCCCCCCCTTTTCCATTTGGTTGCCTGCATGGCTGGCTTTCTTGGCGGATTGGTTGACAGGCTGTGGCATTTCGGCTGATTGGCTGAGTGTCCGACTGACCAGTTGGCAGATTGGCTGGTTGAATGGATGGCTCGTTCGCTGGTAGGTTCGCAAAGGAGGACACGAAATCACAAGAGGGGACGGAGCCAGGAGCGTGTACTATGAGGGATCGTGGCTGCTCGCGCGCAGAACCGCTTTGCTTTTTGCTCAAGGGACCGTGGTTGCGCGAGTGCCAACCCATAGTCTTTGCAAGGAGTCATGTCCGAACCAGCGCGAATCCATCTTATTCCCACGTTGCAACAGTCAGCGGCGAGCCCCTTCTCAGAACGCGGCGGCAGGAGCCCTCGCGCCTTCTGAAAAAGTCTCCGGCTTCTTCGGGGAAGGCCGAGAAACAAATTCTCCGGAAGCCGTGGGGTTTCCGAGCCTGCCGTGGAGGCCTTCTCCTTCTCGCGTCCTCCCCTCGCTCGCCGCCAACACATGGGGTCATTGTCAAGTCGGGCGTGCCCCTCTACAGAAGGAGTATTCGAAAATAGTGAAAAATAGTCTTGAGCCGATTGTTTTACTATTTTTGAATATTTAGGGAATATGTTTTGAGTATTTTTTCATTTCTCGTCCAAAACCCCCTGAAGGGGGACATGCCCGACCTATGGTTATTGTTCTCCAGTTCCCGAGCTGGGGTTCCTGTCATCAGTATGGCGGCTCGCACCTGTCTCCTTCGTGCCCGACGCGCCTCCCTCGCACGCTCCTGTACAACTCCGATGCGTCTCGAGTCGGGCTCGTCCCTCTACAGGGGGGAATCTTCAGGAATCGTAGAAGAAGAGCCTGGGAACAGTTTTTTTTTGCTCGTGCTCTTGTGACTGTTTCTTGAACCTGTTTCTGATGATGGCTTTTTTCCGAAATCCGCCTGTGGGAGGGCCCGACCTAATGCTCAACTCAGATCAGTCGTATTCGTGCCCACTCATACCAGGGCCTCGGGCGCCGCCCTTGGCGCGCTCCGCGCGCGAGGGAGGGGGGTGCGGCGCTGGTCCAAGAAATCCGCGCGTACCTCCAAGAGATTATTTGAATGCCGTGATGCGTTCCCCCCACATTTTCCATCCACCCTCCTTCCCTTTTCACTTCTCTCCACCACCCTCCCCTCCTCTTGCCTTCCCCTCCTGCCCTCCTGCTGGTGGAATTGCCGGAGGAACGGCTTCGCCAGAACATGCCCGGCCGTGCTGCGGCCCTCCGCAGAAGCTGACGCAGAGGATCGGCTGATGGCCGGGCCTCGGCTGCACCCGACGTAGCCCACCAGATCGACCAGCGGCCCTGCCCTCCGTTCCAGGAGGGCGCAGCACGGGGCCTCTGGGAGCGGAGGCGGTGAGCACCGCGCTGGGGAGCGCGGGCGCCCACGCCCAGGGGCCGTCGCCGGGTGGGAGGGGCGGCGGCGTCCAGGAGCCCGGCTGCACAGCGGGCTGCTCCGACCCAGCGGAAGGCGCTGCAGGCTGAGGCGGCGAGGGGAGCCGGTGGACAGGCGTCATGGCGCCAGCATGAAGTCTGACCTGTCCCTCTACAGGGGGGATATTCAAATATGTAAAAAATAGTATGCGGACTACTTTTCGAGTATTTCGGAGCACTTTTTGATTATTTGTGTTGCTATTTTCTTGACTTGCCGTCCAACGTCCGCCTTTAGGAGAACCGGCCCGACGTAACGCCAGCATCGCAGAGCGGATCTGTTCGGAAAACGATCGGATGGGTTCAGAGTGTCCTGGAGAATGTCGTTCCGGGTGTCGAGGTGGATTTCGTGCGTTTTTTTGCTGGCCAGGAATGAAGACTAAAACAATTCCACGCGAAATTCACTACGTTTTTCTCTCGCCGACGCGAAAATCCCATGCAGCACGTCTGCAAGGTCGGTGCAATGACAGGTGGCTCCGTCTGGGCCTCTTAGATGGGGTCCGAGTTGATGGGGTCGGAGGATCGCGCCGTATCGCTGATGCATCGACGATGCGGCTCGATGTGGAGGCCGTGTTTCCCCACGCCGACGTCGCCGATGCATCGCCGATGCATCTGCGATGCATTGGCGATGCGACGCGATCCATCGACCCCATCTACTCGGACCCCGTCTAGGATGCCTCTACTCCGCGGACCTGCCTCGCCGCATCCGACCAGGGCGGTCGTCGCCCGGGCTGGTAGGGGTCAAGACGGCCCTGCGCCTGCGCTTGGGCGACCGCAGGGCAGTGTCCGGGCATTTGTTGGACAGGGGGCCATCAAAACATGAAGTGGGCGTAAGCACGTCGCGCCGTAAAATTCAAGTGCAGCAGTCATAGGTACCTTCGTTGCGCGTCACGCGTGCTGTGCGGCTCGCTGGCGTATATTGAGCATGCCAGGTGGGACAGCCATAGCCTAGGTGACACAAGCTCGCGCTTGTGAAGGCAGCAGTGGTTTGGGTTAGAAGGCCCACGCGCTCACATTGCGCTCACTGGGGCCCCCGTTCGACCATACTCTTCCTCGCGTGGCATGAGATACCGATCTGCTTCTGTTCACGAGGCCGTCAAGAGACGACCAAGGAAGGGTCCTCCTCAGCCTCATCCTCATCTGCTCGTTTTCCCTCCTCCTCCCCCTCCTCCTCCTCCACCTCCCCCCCCTCCTCCTCCTCCTCCTCCTCCTCCCCCTCCTCCTCCTGTCCCTCCTCCTCCTCCTCCTCCTCCTCCTCCTCCTCCTCATCCTCCCCCTCCCTCTCCTTCCTCCTCCTCCTCCTCCTCCTCCTCCTCCTTGCCATACCTGCTCGTGTCATGCCTCCCCGCCCGCACCTCCCCAGCGCGCCGCGATCTCGCGCCCCTCTCGCCGCGACCGCGTGGCCCGCGCCCCGGCGCCTCCCGAGGCCCCGGAGGCTGCCCGTGGCGCCGCGGAGGGCGCCGGCGCGGAGGCGGAGGCGGAGGCGGGCGAGGGCGGGGCGCGGGGATGCCCTCCAGTCCTCCCCCCTCCTCCTTCCCCTCTTCCCCCAACTCCTCCCCCTCCTATTCCTCCTCCCCCTCCTCCTCCTCCGCCTCCTCCTCTCCTCCTCCTCCTCCTCCTCCTCCTCCCCCTCCTCCATCTCTTTCTCTTCCTCCTCCTCCCCCTCCTCTTCCTCCTCCTCCTCCTCCCCCTCCTCCCCCTTCTCCTTCCTCTCCTCATTCCCCTCCTCATTCCCCTCCTCCCCCTCCTCCTCCGCCTCCTCGGCCTCCTCCTCCTCTTCCTCCTCGTCCTGCTCCTCTTCCCCCCTCCTCCTCCCCCCCCCTCCTCCGCCTCTCCTCCCGCCTGGCTTCTTTCAATCTAGGCCTCCCAGATGGGGTCGGAGGGCGGGGAGCGCGATGCCTGTCCCTCTACAGGGGGAAATTTCAAAAATAGTTCAAGGAAAGTAGTCGGTGGACGATATTTTTTTGTATTTTGGAGCACTTTTTGAATCTTCTTGGAATTTTTTTTGCATTTTTCGTTCAAGATCCGCTTGTATGGGGGACACGCCCGACCTAACCTTCGCGGTCTGGGAAACCAGACCCTCGAGTTGCGGGGAAAAAAGCCCGACGGGAGGTTGTTCGTTAGATTTTTGACCTTGGGGGCCCGTGCTAGGCCTCGGGGCCGTCAAAGAACGAGTCGTGACGAGAAACCGGTCCCGGGGAGTGGGTCGAGACCTCTGGGCGTCGACGTTGTGAAAAAATCACGGCGTCGGGGGTTTGGGAGAGGCAGGGCGGTTCACCGTTTTCGACACAGACCTGAAACGGCAAAAAACACAGCTTCGGAATGGGAGCCCGACCCGGAACCAGCAAGCAAGCGGCGACAGAACCGGGAAGAAAGCGGCGTTCGAACCGGCAAGATAACGGCAATATTGAACCGGCAACAAAAATGGCCCTGTCGTTTCCAGGGCCATTGAGCTTCAGATTGGTCAGAGAGTAGGGGATGATTACGCGTCGAGTTATATGTAGAGTGTTCGAAGATCCACGAAGGTTCTACGCATTACGCATGGATTCGAAGAACAAATCAATGTTGGGCTAAATCAGTTTGTAGTCGATCCCGTACTCGTCAAAAGGTAAACCCTCTCCTCTGGTTGCGTCCTCCCTTCGCTGGTCTTCTCGCTCCCTGCCTGCCTGCTCCTTCGCTCCCTCGCGGTGCCGTCGGGAGAAGCGTTTGCCCATGGCGGGTGCTCTCATGGCTCCCCCGCTGGCGATTGGTTACGGGCGACGATTCGTCCGTGGCGCAGCTGCACCGAATTGCCCGGGGTGCGCCCTCTCTCCAGGGTGCAAGTTTTGAGCTAGCGAGTGGCGCGATTCTGGCCTCGATGGAGTCAGTGCCACTATCGTGGCCCGCCGAGCGTCCTCCCCACCTTTTCGTGTCTGGGGAGGCCGTTTCGCGCCCAACTGGCGCGCAGGACGCCGCGGCTGCCGAGGTGGTCGCTCTTCGACAGCTCCTGTCCTTTCTTCTCGGACGGGGTCAGGGCAAGGATAAGTCCGTTCCAGAGCTTTCCGGAATGGTCTCAGAGCGTTCCTTAGCGTTCTGAGAGTGCCGCGGCGCCCGAGACGTCCTCCAGCCCTGCTGGATGTTTGAAACTATCTATCTATCCTCACCCGATTTTGTCCTCCACTCTTCGACAGCTCCTGTCCTTCTCCCCGCCCTCTGCCCCCCCCCCCCCCCCCGCCTCCCTCCCTCCCCTCCTCCCTCCTTCCCCTTCCCCCCTTCCCCCGCTCCCTCCCCCTCCCCCCTCCCCTCCCCTCCCTCCCTCCCCCCCTCCCTTCCTCGCGCCCTGCTTCGCTTGCCGCCCGCCCCCGAGCGCCATCCCCGTGCGGGGTTCTGGCCAGGCCTCTTCCGAACTCTGCGGCGACGCCTCGGGCGCGCCAGGAAGTCCTCGTCGGGGACGGCACAGGGGGGGGGGGGGATGACGGGGGTGAAGTCGGGCTTGTGCTTGTACATGAGGAGAATTCAACAATAGTCAAACAATCGTCAGGGAGGGACGTCTTGGCTATTGTTGGGCACGTTTAGAATTATGTTTCGCCCAAAATCCCCCTGTAGGGGGACACGCCCGACCTAAGACTAGGGGGGGGATATCATGGCGTGGGCCATGATATTTCCTCAGATGTCATGGCGCCTCTTCTTACTTTATTACGTCCCTGGCCCCCCTCGCTGGGTCCGCGCACGTGCCGCCTGTCATGATTTGCACCCCCCCTCTTGGACACCC